TATATATATATATATATATATATATATATATATATATATATATATATATATATATATAAAATTAGAAGTCTACTTATTCCTCGGCTGTTTATACTTTCCAGAAGTTTACACTTTCCAGAATAGATAACATATGAAATTCCAGAATAGATAACATTATTTTATATTTATATAGTTCCCCAGACTGTCTTTGCATTCCATATTGACTGATACATGTTAAAGTTTATGATTATTAAATATTCTTGTCTAATCTGCTAAAAAAGAGGATTTTACACAAGAGCGATATTGCGCATTTATACACGTGAAAATTTATGTAGAATCGTATTTATGCCTGTAGTATTTCAATATAAGTTAAACATCAAATTTCCTCCATGCGGAAAGAAAGTGATACGGCAAAACATCAAAATCCGCTTGGTCAAGTATTTCCCCCGCGCAAGCGCTGTTTTTGTCAAAGTGACGTTACATTGAAATTATACGTGGAACTACGTGGATGAATAATTTTGCAAACTGCAGAACGGAATCAAAGCCGAAACGCAAATAGAGAACTCGACGGGGTAAGCAAAAGGACGATACTATTTTTAACTTAAAACTGAATCCTGCGCGACTCAATAAAAACCCGATGCAATTAGCAATCATCAGAGACTTGCAAACCACCAAAAGCAAACGACATAAATATATATAAAAGGGGAAAATATAATAATCGATAAAATTCTTTCAAATAAATACGAATATAATTTTAAAAAAGTAATATTTGTGCAACATATATAATTATAAACACAAACGTAATAAAATATTTAAGTAATAAAATATTTAATTATTAAATATTTTAATTATTAATTATTTAAGTAATAAAATATTTAATTATTTAAGTTAATTTAATATAATTTATTAAATTTAATGTATTTAAATTAATTATTTATGTTAATTCATTCTGTTAAACGTAACAACACACTTAAAGCTTAGGGATTACGACTTCAGCCAGCAGTAGCAAAAATTACGTCACAGTTTTAGGCTTACTACACCCGCAGATCCGGCCTAATAGGTACGTCGGTGGGGAAATAAGCACAGTATCGCTAATAGTACCGAGAATGGAAACCAGGATATATTTCTGGACACTCCGATAACAGATTCGGTCGTATAACACGGTCGGCGTTTCAAATTTCTATGTAATTTCACCTGGAGAGATGCAGTCTCTCTGCCTGCGGTTGACAACTTGTATAGAACGGTGCTTACAAGAAATGCGGTGTACGCGTATGATTTAAACTTCGGCGATTTACTCCCGGCCGCCCGGCGTTCAATTGGATAAGAGCGAAAATTTCCGTTTCACGGAATTTCAAGTGCGAGAATAGACGTCCGCGCCGAACGAACGACTCCCTGCGGTTATTGTTGGCGCAAGGTTGAAGAATTTCAATGGAAGACGGTTTGCGTCTCGTTACGGATTCATCGTTTACTTTTGTCCAGATGGCATTTCTCCGTGAGCCAGGTGCATCGTTAGTACCGGTAACTCGAAACGAATGATCGCATCCTGTACTTTCACGTAAAAATAATGTTAGCCGCGAGCGGGAGATGGATCACTTTTAATACGATATATTGTACAAAATATTACAAAAAAAAAAAGATTACAAAATATATTATTAAAAAGAGAAGTATCGCATCTCCTGATAGCCCATTCTTGAATTAACCAAAAATAACCTTGTATTAATGTCTGAGTTTAAGATTTATTGAAACCCTCTCCGAAACTAACTTTTTTTATTAATTTTTTTTTATTTTTTTAACATTAAGGTAAAAAGCAAAAATTTATAAAATTACACAATAATATATATAATACAGCTTATGTCGCTGATAATTTGAAAAATATAAATAAGGCCTGTATGTAAACAAACACACGCAAAAAAAATTTCAGTTGGTGCAACCAAATAGGAACCAACTGAAAATTAAGTGATCAGAAGCGATATCTCTGTCATGAAAACTAATATTTCTGTTGTCGCAACCGAAAATATTCGTCTGAACATTCAACGATATTAGAACTCAATTGAGGCAACTGAGAAAACAATTGACTATACAGAAGTCTCATAAAGGAATTTTTCTGTTTCTATAGTCGAGTTTTCGTTTGATCCCTGAGCAACCGAAAATTCGGTTGCACCAACAGAATTCTTTTTTCCGTGCACGAACTAATTTTAGGCAGTGACGAAGAGAGAAATATAAACATAATTAAACAATCAGATGCGCTAATAACAACATATGTACTCCGAACGCGCAAGCATTATACAAACTATTGTAAGGTCGTGATAACATTCCCAGATAGTACAGAGAATTCAAAAAGAATTCAAAAAAATATCTGAAAAAGATATCGAATCTGTATATCACCGATTCTGAGTTCATTTTCAGATGCAAAAAGAATTCTTCAGAGTTCAGTTCGGTGAAAAGAATTCTTGTTGCATCTAAAAATGAACTCAGAATTGGTGAAATACGACTAAATTCTCTGTGCTATCTAGGTTGCCATCATCTTTGACAAATAGAAGCTTCTCAAATTTCTAATGTCAATGTAATATTTTTTTGTCATATGTAGAAAAGGAGGAGGAGGAGGATAAGGTGCGCTCTCTGTCAATTCGATTTATTTGACTAGAAACAATATAAATCTGACGTTGCGATTGTCAACATCGCGAATAATGTTCGCAAATAATGTGAGACATGCGGACCGAGAGATAGAGAAATGAACTGCGAAAGATAAATTTAAACGAGGCTGCTTTGAAGATACGCGAGATCACAGGAGTTATGCTCGCGACGTTCGAGTACAAAACGGATGAGGCAAGTTTTGATCGTGTGCAGACCAATTATACGTCCGCATATATATCTAGTGTACGCGCACAGTAACGCTAATTACACTGTTTCTCTCCACCACCGTGTATCCAACCAGTAATTTATAACTCAGAAACAGGTCGTAAAGGGAATCGTTACTAATGACATCGTAAAACCGATACAGATGTCATAGATTTAATGTGCATTATCCCCACTTGAAATGTCGCCGTGCTCCAATTTAAATCAAACCCCTGCGGGTATCAAACGAGAAGAAATAATGCCGGGACGGGAATCGGCAAATAAAAAGATGAGTCACGCTACGCGGCGCTACGATATCCCAAATCGGATATCGTTAAAACGTTGATTAAAACGTGCGCTTTATTCCGGGACAGTCAACTTTGGCTTGCGGTGTTTTGTGCGCTCAATATAAAGCATTTCATTCGCGAAAAAGATGAATACACAAACAGTTCGATTTGTCGCAAAAAAAGAGAGGAGAACAGGTATCCCCGTAAATTATACAATCACAGAGCGGCGATATAAAAACGACCCTCAAACAAAAAAATCCACAAGTTATTATTTTCTGTAATATCGCTGTAAATACTTCTGTCGAAGTCCGCAATAATGATGTCGTCATGTCAAATGCAAATATGTCCGTTCGATTTTCTTTGCATGGCATTTTCTCTTTTGCATAAACGGAGAGTATCTACAAACAAATTGAATAATCCATCAAACTACGCGTCTCGCGGTCACTTTCACAAGCAGAGTTGGATAAGTTTATTTTTATTTTTAAATACAATTTTTAATTTATACAGTTAATTCTCTCAAACTCTCAAATTAACTTGATTTACATCAAGAATTACATAAAAAACTAGGTTAAAACTCAGTTATAAAACTCAGTTAAGAGTCAACGTTAACGTTAAATTAACTTGTCAAAGTTAAAAGTCAATTATGCAAAACAATTATTATTAATAAAATTATTAATAAAAAGATAATCTTTTATTTTTAAAAATAATAATAATACTCACTGTTTTTTATGTTCAGGATTCTACAAAAGAAAAGTATACTGGCGTTCAGAGAGACAAAAAAATTCTACTATTATTTTTATTTCTCTTATTCTACATTGTTAGTAGGTCACAATATTTTAAGCATTAATGAATTATTTTAACTTGTATAAGAAAGGTTAACAAGTTGATGTGTTTTAAGATAACTAGTTTGAGTTAAACGTTATTAATCTTCTAACGTTTTAACTTTATCTTTATCTGATTAACCAGTTATTACTCAATCCTGTCGATAAGTAATAAGAGCATGGACACGTTACGGCGTGAACAATCGTCGAAAAGTCACGGCCGAAAGCTCGAAAAATACCATTCTATCGTGTAGCAAATTATCATCGCCGCGTATACACCCACCGATTTCCGTTCACTCCGTTGCTGTTTGAACGGGCGGCAGGAAAAAAGCCCAATCTCGACCGTAATTCAAACATTCGGAAGCGCGGGATATTCATCCGGGTGTGCGTTCATTCGGCAACATTTATTTCCACCGTGTCGCCCCGGCTGGAATTCAGCCCGCGGACCGCCGCCCTCGGATTGCTTCCGTCGAAAATTAGGAGCAGAAAAGGTTTCCGATGTTGCGGAAGAAGTTTCGCCGCAGAGTCCCGCGCGAAACCGCGATGCGGAATTATGGAACGGATAGACGTTAGGATCGATTAATGGAGGCCAGCCGCCTCGATGCGGTTTGGCGAAAAGTAACCGAAACTGCGACCAACCCTCAGAGCGCGGCGCGAGAACGGTTTCCGGCTCAAATGGAATTTCGAGCGTTTAACTGACAGCTGACGAATCTGCGGCACTGATGGTGTTTTAGCAGACAACCGCCGGCCGCATGCTAGAGGTGACATTTTTATCGAAAGGGATAAAGCGCGCGGAGAGTTCCGATTCTCTCGATCGAAGAACCTATCTCGCGTGTGTCCAAGTGCCGAATTAGGATCCGAAATATCGTGGACAGAATGTCTGACACGTTGTATTTTTTTTTTATATTTTATTGTGTGAATTTAGTGTAAACCCTTATAGAAATTTCAAACCAAAAATTACGACGAAAGTGGCAGTGATTGAATAGTGACAGCAATTATTTCAGTAATTACGTGGTCAGTACTTTAATCATTAGTTAATGAATTACTGCGATTGCAGAATACTGTTTGTAGCAATTTATGCCAAAATTTCTGCTAAATGAAATAAAATTTAACATCTGGTCATTTTGTTTTAAACGATAAAAAAACATTTTATTTCTTGTCATTTCATTTTTTCTAGTTCACGATATATCTCTCGTCCCGATCCCGTAATAAGTTTCTACTTTTTTTCTTAAGAAGACAAAACATCTTTGTGCATAGAAAGATTAAATTCAAAACATTGTAAATTTTTTGTTTTTCAATATTTTATTATAAAATTTAATACGAGATTTTATATTGAATACTAAAAAGAATGTTGTGTAAATTAAAAAACGACAAACGAAATAATGGCGGAACAGCAGCCATTTCTGTGAAATCTCTGTTTTCATAGTGGCTCTGTTAATCTTTTGTAAAAATTTATAAGCGAAAAAAAAGAAATATGTGTTTAATCTGCAATAAATTTTTTACTTGTTATCACAGCCGATTTTTTTTTAAATACAACTATATTAGCCTGTTAAAGCTTATTTTATAAAACAATACTTTTCCTTACATTTTTTTATTTTTTTTAAAGATATTTTTTTAATAACGATTTTTATTTGAAAAATGATTTCCAAATAATTTCCATAATCGGGTGTGATAACATCTGACAACAATATATCTTTGTGGATTATATTTTAATATATTCTTATATTGCTCAAAAAAATTATATTAGCATATTTACTAACAAATGCTAAAAAAACTCAATAACAATCGAAATACAACGAATATCAATATAATGTATATTAGCGAACTAATGATACTATTGCTTTTGGATTTTTAACTAAATATTATTATAATAAATTAGAAAGTAAACAATAAGTTAATTTTGAAACTACTACATATGAAAGAACATAATAAATATAAGAAAATTTATGTTTACTTTTCTTGTTATCAAAAATTGTAAATTACTTTTACGAAAAATTTTAATGTTGTAATTGTGTGGTTGCAAGAGATAAATATTGTGATCTCAGTCAACTATTACAACTACAAAATTTACTCCTTATATATTTTCCTCTAATATTAAAAAAATATCAAAGATTTTTTAGAATGTAATATTAGATGACTCATATTGTCTATAAAAATCAATGGTTTCAGGTCATTTGAATTTACCCGCCCTGCACCTTGTGCGGGATTCACATTGCACCCGACATTCAAGGTGCGATCCATTAAACGCTACAAATGCTTCGAAGCGCCATTTAGGCCAATCATGACTTAAACGCATGATACAAGCGCTTCAAAGCGTTTGCAGCGTTTAATGGATCAACGTAAGCGTTCAATAGTTCAATAAAAAGTCATTTTCTCGAGAGAAAAATGTTAGCTAGGAATCCTAAAAAATAAAGTTTTCTATTGAATATCAGATTATCGTGCGGCGGATGACAGATTCAGTGTGAAGGCTGGTTTATGATGGCCGTAATCCGTTAACTAATGCTGGAACCGTAAAAAATTGATCAAAATCACAGTCGATTATTCTTCGACTATGATTGGTCAATTTTTTACGATTCCGGCATAAGTTAACGGATTACGGCTATCATAAACCAGCCTTTCATCTTGCATTAGCAACTATCCAATATGGCGATTGACGGTGGTGGTGGAGGCACAGATTTCTATGGACGCGTTCCGTTACACGCTTACAACGCTCACGAGCGTCAATCTATCTTTGTTGCTCATGGATGTTAAACAAAGATAGAATGACGCTCGCGAGCGTTGCGAGCGTGTAATGGAACACGCACTATATACTACTAAACTGCTAACTTCCTAGTTACAGCTGAGGCAAAAAGTGACGGCCATTTTTGTTAAGGCATTCCATATATTCATGTACTAATTTTGCCTTAACAAAGATAGCTGCTTCTATTCACACTACGTTAAAATTTTGTCTCACTTTTATACAAGCCGACTATAGGAAGTTAGCAGTCAAGTAGTATATAGAAGTCTGTGGGTGGAGATTGATTGTGCTGCACTCTGCGTCGATGCTAGAGCTAGATCGAACTAAGAGAACTTCAGCAGAGAGAAGCATGAGAGTAGCCTGATTTCAATGGTCAGAGCTAGGCGCATTTTCGAGACGCCATCTAACAAAGTGCGCCTTTACTACGTTAGTTAGGCGCATTTTCGCGGTGGTAACGATAAAATGTGTCTGGTTCGTGCCCGTTGTACTTCCGTACAATGATAGTAAGGGCCTTTGTAGAAAAGGAAATTTTAACCGTTACCGTAAGCGACGTCGCTGACAGCCTTTTTACTACCGATTGCATTTTTCGCACATTTCTCGGCAACTACTAAAGATATCAAGATGATACAAAGAGCACTATCTGCCCCATAATTCACCTTATTGGAATTAGTAGTTTATAATAATATGAATAATATCGGAGACTCAAAACATCTCGGTTTGAATCCCGGCTTATTAGTTTAGCGGAGACTCGAAACACCTCGATTCGAATCTCGGCTTAAAGGCATGCTAGAGTGGACGACAAACTTACTAACCGTCGATAACGTAGAGGCGATTCAAAATGTAGAAAACGTTTTCTTTATTTACCGATGTATATTAGTATTCATAAATGCCTTTACACTTCCGGTATTTATAAAATTGGACTTTTTCGATCTGGCGCATCGTTTCTCAGTAAGCGTGAATCGTGACTGTTACTTGTCGGTTCTTTCAGTAACTAACAATCACGATTCACGCTTACTGAGAAACGAGAGAGAGAGAGAGAGAGAGAGAGAGAGAGAGAGAGAGAGAGATGCGCCAGATAAAAAAAATCCAATTCTCTAGATACCGGAAATGTAAAGGCATTTATAAATACTAGTATACTAATTTTATGTATATATAGATATATATTGATATTTAACAAGAGATGTATCAAGAGATAATACATCTTTTGATGTATTATCAAGAAATAATCTAACAAGAAGGAAGTTTCCCGAGTCAAAATTTCAATTGACCATTGTTATGCAAGAATGATACAATTCAAAAAATTATAAATTTTTATCAATGGATATTCCATTCATCTTTTTACACAAAACAAAAAAAAATCCAAGCTAACATTACCGCAGAATTTAATTAAGAAATGATTTCCTCGAACACAATCTCTCAATGTGATTATGGTTAAAAATACCATATACCAATATTTCTTGGTAGCATAGATTGTATTAAACAGAAAAGTAACAGAGAAACGATTAACAGGAACGCGAACTCTATAGCTTTTATTCTCAACTTCCTTTTGTTGATGAAAGTGTCCCTTAAAAGTGGCTTGCACCCAATCAAAAGACTTATGAGTTACTTTCACACGGGTGCTTTTATAAAAAAAAAAAAGAGAGCTCAGAATAAATATCTACGAAGATAAAGGCAAAATTGCACGTATATGATAAGATATAATTGCACGTATATGAGATGAGTTTTCGTACGCGAATTTTCGTTTTGCATATATACAGCTTTCATTTTCAACTATTCACTTTTCCCCACCCGTAGTTTGAGTGGCATGATTAATACATGCTTAGATTTATTCACGTGTCGTATATTATTTCTTCTCCCCAGAAGTAATTTTACCCCCACTGAAATTTAATTTGTCGTCTTGACAACGACAAACGCGTATGCATAAGAAAATATCTCCGAAGAGATAGTATATCATATATAATACGACATAATAAGTTATAAAGTATAATAATCACATAGTATATATAGAGCATATATAGAATATATATAAAACATATATAGAGCATAAAACAAGCATATATAACATATACAGAGCATATAAATATATGTTGAAATATATCAGTTTAATATATCATCAAAAAATAATCCGACGAGAAGCAAGCTTGCCGAGTCGAAATTTCAATTGGCCATTGTTGTGCAAGAATGATCTAATTCAAAACATTACAAATTTTTATCAATAGATATTCCATTCACATCTTTTTAAACCAAACAAAAAAAATTCAAATCTTATAGATGCTTGAAATGAGTTAAGAAACAGTTTTTTTTTATTTTTTATCAATCGCGTTTTTTACATATTTTTCTAAGGATTGAGCTAATCAATATTCTTAAAGAAATGGAAATGCTTGACTATTGCTATCAATTATCGAATAACTATCGAATAACTATTGTTATTCAATTATCGTTGAACTATTGCGAAAATCTCAGAGCTAAATTCTTTGGTTGGATCATTCTTACGTAACTCCGGCAAATTGCAAATTCTAATTCTTACTTTACTTCCCGTCGGACCCAATGCGATTTACGTCTACGTGCATGCAAACTACGTAAAGTGACGCTTTGTGTCTACTATGTGAGCGTCTAAATTGAGCGCTCACCATTACGCATCGTCCCACGGTGTCCAGGGTCCACCAGCCATCCTGTCGCTGCATCTGACACTGCATCTGTCCTCGCGTCCCACGTCGCCTGTAATTCACTCCCGACCGCGGTAATCTTACGCGGAAGTTTCACAAAAAATCCCGTCTCTCTTAGAGGATACACTCCGAGTTGCGAATTGCGTATGAAATATCGCGAATTACGTCTTCGAAGAAATATCGATCTTTCGGATAAACAACGAGTATGTGTGACGAATTCAGCAACGGCCCGATCGAGTTGTAGTGTATCGCTTTGATACACGCACGACGCAAATCACTTATGAAGAAAACGCAATCCGCGAGCGAAGGGAACACGCCACGCGAGTCAAAGGCCGATCTCGCAAAATCTTTCGATGCGTGGGCGAAGTAATCTGTGCGAGATTCTCACGTACGACACGGAATATCCCTAATGTAACGTTTCGATGGTGCAGCATAGTAGGCTGCAATGTAGCTCCGTAATATTTTTACGGATAACAGCTCCGCAATACTTTAGCGAAGACAATTTCGCAATATTTTTGCGGATAACAGCTCCACAATACTTTTGCGAAGATAATTCCGCAATGCTTTTGCGGATAACAACTCCGTAATATTTCTGCACAATTCGCTCGCGCAAATCCGGTGAAATTCGCAAACCTATCAAATTAATAATCGCAAACGCATATGAATGAAAAATCAAAAATTATGAGAATTATGACGATAAAGATTTTATTCAAAATTCACGCGAAAAAAAATATTACCGCGTGTGGCGCCTGTTTTTTTCGATGGAACTCGTTGCGCGCCGCGTAAGTAAACAACTGCTCGTATGTCTGACTTGTGTACATCGCGTTTTTCGCTAGGGATCAACGCTCGCTAGCATTGTCTTTATTGTATCCCGCGTTAAGAAACTCTAAGTGAAAAATTTAAATTTGAAAATTTTCCGACGATCGTGAAATTAATTTTGCATACAGTTTATATAATCACGTTAAATCGCTTCGCGTAAGTGTCGTGCGATATGGAATTTGACTTAATAACGAAGCACAAACACTATTTTATAAAATGTAATCGCGATTTAAACTCCTGCGAGAGAGGAAATTGAGAAAATTAACGACTGGCGGAAAATCTATGACGCGGGTGATGTGTTTGCGCATTTTTTGTGTCGCAATCTCTTTGCGCGTTGGCGCACTGCTCAAGACACCTGGAAGATCGCATTCAATAAAACTGAATAATTTTACAAAATTTTGAATGTTCAGAGCGTATAGTCAATACTTTAAATATCTACCAGATAGTGTTGGGGTTTGATTAATCAAAATTTCCTCCGACAAAAATCGTCGACCAATCAATAATCTAACTTAATCGATTAATAAATATATGTACATTGGGAGAAAACTACTCGAAAATTTATTTGCCAAATTTATGTAGAATATGCATTACTAAATTATTGATAAAGCGATCTTTCAAATGTTTCGAGCAGGGTACTTTTTATTGGACGGCACGTACACATACTACAACTACAGCAAAGTAAATCGCATTGATTCATGCACTACATCAAAAGACTTTTTGTCTTTCTATTATCAATATGTTTTTTGTTTTGACTCACCAACCCGCCGATCAGGGTAGCCACATTCTGCTTTCCTTTCTGGAACAGAAAAATGCCATTTCGCATATAGATTCATGCACTAATGTTGATTTAAATGAAGAAATTTGAAGGATTAAAAAAAATAAGCGCGATATTTTTTATGCTGGAAGAACTTTTCGGAATGCATTCACACTTGGAATATTCCACTTTCCTTTTTCTCGACGTTGCAAGTAAATCTCTTAATCAGAACAAATCAAAATTTTTCAAGTGGTGATGTTACTCAGAAAAAATTCTCCCCGCGTGTAATTACGATTTAACGCGATCTTTGATTTGATTCAAGTTATCTCGATTTCGAGCAAGAGAATTATCAATCTTGTCGGATTTCTAATTACAAATGCTAATTAATGAAGCTCACCTTCGAGTTAACCCTGCTCGGCCCGAGCCGGATCCTCCGGCGCAGCAGCCCCTAAGAGTCAGCTGGTCGTCTGCTTCGTTTCTGCAACAGAAAGCAGATTTAATTTAATATTATACACGACAGTGGAGGCATTAAAGAACTCGATTTCAAATAAGAAAATTTCAAGTTTTATCGGATTTATCGGAATTATGAATTTAAATCAGTGAAACCCACCTTCGCGCCAACTCTGCCAGGCCCAACCGGATCCTCCGGTGCAGCATCCTCTTAAAGTCGAGTGCTCATCTCTGCAACAAAAAACAGATTTAATTGAGTATTAATTAGTTACACGATGATGGAAGCATCAAGGAACTCGATTCCAAACAAGACAATTTTCAGCTTTGTCGAATTTCTAATTATAAGTACAAATTAGTGAAGCTCACCTTCGAGCCGACTCAAAAAGGCCCAAGCCGAATCCTTCGGCGCGGCATCCTCCAGACATCGCATCCTGCGTGACTGCGTCTGCACTATTAAATCTCTGTGACAGGAATTTAATTTAACTTAATAATTTAATAATTTAATATCAATTAGTTACACGCGACAGCAAAATGAGAAAAAGAAATCGTCGTAACAGCACGCTCGAGTTCCTTCCCACACAGCAGAAATGTCCCAAATACATCATAGAAATATCTTGAAGATATCACATATCCCAAATATATCTTTAGGATATCCCTATGATATATTGGACACCTCTGCTGTATGGGTTTCCAATGCGCAATAAGAAATAATTAAATCGTAGCTGAATAAAGAAGTAATAATATCCGATTAATATATATATTAATGCATGATGATATTAATATCTTATCGACAACCATATAATAATATCCGGTAGTATCGATTAATTACACACAACAGCAAGACAAGATAAGGAAATCATCGTAAAGGCACGCTCGAGTTGCTTCCCAATACGCAATAAAAATAATTAAATGACAACCGAAAAAAGAAATAATAATACTCGAATAATAAATGGGTGATGATAATATTTGATCGGCATTGAGGAACTCGATCGCGACGTTTCTCTATTTAACAAGTAAAAAAGTAAATGAAACGCAGTAATTACCTGTCGCGGTAATTAAAGCCCAACACTTGCTCGCGTGAGAAGTACGCGTCTTAATTTGTCTTAATTATTGCCTCAATTGTCGCGAAGTCGAAATGCGATATTAAAAATCGGCACGGTAAAAAATAACACGGCAGCTCCCGATGTACTTGTCTCGACGGTTGGGAATGTTATGGCGTGACGCTCGAGCACGTGCTCACGTACGCGTGTTTACATGATCCGGTCGCGCGTTCCCTCAAGCGCACGGGCGGGCCGTTACGAGAGTCCGTTTACCTAGCCTTTGTGGAGCCTAGAGTTTTTGTTAGAGCCGTTGCCCAGATATTATTATTACCGATTATTCGATCATTATTTCGTTATTATCCTCTCGCGGATATTATCACACGATTGTCAAGCAGATATTATTATCACTACCATTTAAAATATTCGAGTATTATTACTTCTTTATTCAATTATTATTTAATTTATTCGGTTATTATTTAATTATTGCTATTACGTATAGGAAAGCAACTCGAGCGTGCCGTTACGACAATTTTTTTTACTTCGTATTTAATCAGTTATTATTGCTGTTGCCCAGTTATTGTTATTCATTGTTTTTATCGATAATTCAATCATCGTTATTATCCGCTCGCGGCTATTATCACATAATTGTCGAGCAGATATTATTATAATTATTATAAAAAAGTAATAATAGGCCTGTTCTTTTTCGCTACACTACTGCACTAGTGCAATAAGTTAAAATGAAAAAATATACATGTATCTCGCTTTAACTTATTGCACCAATTCAGCAGCGCAGCGAAAAAGAACAGGCCTAATATTCGAATAATAAATAGTAGTGATAATAACACCTGATAGTAGTGATAACACCTGATCGACAATCGTGTAACAATAGCCGCGAACGTAGTAAAGGCGCACTTTGTTAGATGGCGTCTCGAAAATGCGCCTAGCTCTGGCTTCATTGAAATCAGGCTGGTGCCGCTCTCAGGCTTCTCTCTGACTTCAGTAAGATACGAGGAGTCAAAATCGATCTTGTAACAGCTCCTCGCTCATTTCGTGTTACAATACGTGAATTCGCAACTGTCGCAAATTAATCTTGCGAGATGTTCAAGCAGGTGTTGCGACCGGTTGTTCGCAACGTGGTCAAAAATGGTGAGATACTCTGCGCTTTAAATTTGTTCGCGTTGGCCATATCTTATATAATATCTGCGCTATCACGCGTAAATGTACACTGAATTATTATTCTGTAACATATAGAAATGATAGATGCAAAATTTATTCCCGAATCCCCCACTCACATAAGATTATTCTATCAATTCGTAGTCAACTTTCTTATCTTTAAACTTTGTAACATTAGTAACTTTATATGAAATTCTAAGGGATAGTTATAAAGGGTTTTTGATAAATTGACTTTTTTGGATATGAAACTATACAAGGACTTATGATTAATTAGCAAACTCACATCTTAATTTGAGTTGTTTTTGTAACAACTTTAATAGAAAATTGCCATTCAAATATTTGATGTTAAAAGAGCTACAGAAACACAAATATGTGTAAACTAAAATGACAATGTTTGTGCTTTATATAACATATATTTTTAATACTAAGGTACCCGTTCATCGAGCTCAAAAGTTTTGGATATTAGAGTACCGACAATAAATGACATACCAGTGCCAAAAGGATCATGGCGTGAGCATTATGAGAAAAGACAGAAAGTTTACAATACTCAATTAATCGTTGGTATCACTGCTCTAGTGAGCACATTAACTTTTGTATGTATCAACTTTATAACATTATAAATAGTACTAAGTATATATTTGCTTTAAAATATCACTTAAAAACTCAATTTTCTAGTATAATTTTATATGTTTTATCATTATAATCTTACATTTCAATTTTTTAGTAAATAATAGAATCTTATTCTCTGTCCCTAATCTCAATTTCTTTTATGACAAATAAGAACTTTACTACAGTTATTGATATACAGTTCTGTATTGTATCAAATTAATTGTGTAACAAGTAGACCAGCTTATACACCAATGTTTCTTTAATTTGATTTATTTAATAATAAAGCAGCATTTGTAGATAATATTGTAGATGATCATAATAATCAACTATTGATCAGAATGTCGAGGTGTGGTTACTTGTTACATATACATACACATACATATATATATATTATATGATATATTTCTAATAATTGTGGTAAAACTTTTGCCATTCTTTTATATGAAATTCTTTAAACTTGTCCTCAGAAGAGAATTTATATTAAAATTCAGTTTAAAAAAATTTTTTTATATCTTTATATATTGCAAGTTGAAATTAAACTTTGTACAATATATAATTTGTGTGTATTATTTTCAGATAAAAGTTTCGGGTATTATCTTCTTTAACTTTAACCCACCTGAGATACCTACTGAGAAGTGAACATCAGAATATTAGATAATTACAATAGATATATACAAAGCAATCCAGCCACACAGCTATAATGAATATATTATAATAAATGTGTACTTTATTGTGAGAGTGTAACACGCAATATGTAACTTGTACTCTTCAATAAATGGTCCATATTTATAACAAGTCCATGTACTATCTCTGCCCTGTTCTTAACTTAAAAGCACAGCAAAATATACACAAAAATAAATATATAAATATATATGCACATAAATATTTAATATTCTGTAGTATTAAAATAACTTTATTGTTATTCAATTGTTACACAGTTTTTTGTCGAAGTATTGTAATATTTGAGAATACTTGCATATACATGATTTTGCAGCATAATTATCTTTAAAATTGTTCTAGTAATTATATTCATATTTACCTGAGTCAAATTAAACAATGTTATTTTATTACGTTCCAGCTATTTAATGAGATCGCGCTATTTCTGAGAAGAATTCTAAAATATCTTGGATAGTAAATTCCAATGTCACCATACTGTCCGGATAGCAACGTTGTATCAGCTCTTCGATATTTCTATATTGCGCGATAAATTCATTCTGCATCTCACGCCAGACGACCTAAAGTGTAATTAAAAATAATTAAATTCCAAATATTATATATGTGGTCGAAAGTAACGAATCAGAATGACGCAATGTAAAACCAAAGTATTCAAAATTTATAACCAGGAGTTAAATATTTTATATATTTTATTATTCTGTAATCTTGTTATTTGCGGTCGGTTTTATAAAAAATACACTAAGATACTAAGAATTTACACACATTTATATTACACACTAAGAATAGAGCTTTGGTTCCTTATTAGTTGAGTGTATTTTGTTTATCTCCTGTTTGTAAACAATCTATACAAATAATCAAAAAATCATTCGCATATTTATATGAATAATATCACGATTATTACCGAATTATTGAAAAAGCATTGGAGTATTATTGAGAAACCTCTCGTGTTTCACTTACCTGCAATAAATTCTCCTCTTCACACAGATGCTTCTCAACTTTACGATACAGGTTCTCCAAACCTTTCTTAACTTCTCTCGCAGGATATTCCTTTACCACTCGTCTTAACTCCTGTTTGCTGAAAGCCATCTGATAACTAACTTCGGATTCTTTTACGCCGGCCCCTACCTTAGCTTGAACACCTTCAAAGAATAACTGAAAAGTGAATGTTCTTCTGTAGCTTTAATCAAAATACTTTGATATGATAGTAAGAATATCTCTTCTAAGCGAAAATTTACATTAAGTTTCTCAAGAGGCCGGCCAAAATATTGCGTAACGTAAGCACGCAGTGCATCTTGATATTTTTGTTTAGCTTCTTTTCGCTCGTGATCCAGCACGGAGATCTTTAATTGCGACAAAAGATCGTACAGGTGATGGAAATTCTCTGTAAAATATAACAAATATGCCCATAATTATTGAAATATGCGGTACAATTTATATATCGTTAATTATTGAAATAATAGAGATATAGCAATTATCATCGGTCACTAAAATATTACCCATTTTTATGACCTCTTGTGGCGTCTTGTGATGTTCTCGGCTGTGAATGACGATAGCATCGAACATGGTGCTCACCAGCTTCGTGTACCACTTGTCGAGATCGACCTTTCTGTCGGAGTTACGGAAGATCTTTTCCGCGATTCTCGCGAAAGGCCCGAAGTTCTCTATGTACGGCAGTATGCCGCACTTGTGCCGGCGATTAACTTTCGTGTCACACAATATGGACTGCAACTGTGCTTGCATGAACTTGTCGAACGCGCGTTTCACGTGGATCAGAGCAGACGCGAATGTCATTGACAGAAACGAGCCGGTATCCTGGGCGGACATGACGTGTTGCGACAAACGCACCAGTACGTACATACACCAGCTACAAGCAATGATTAATAATTTTATATAAATTTATTTCAATAGACAGTCCTTGTTAAACATCTAAAAAGATACCGGTTATATTCATAAAAATGATTAATTCTTCGAAATTGAATATAATTCTATCTCCTATCTCTCTCTTACTTGACAAGCACAACAAATCTTTTGTACCAATCTAATGCGTGATCACATAAAATAGTACGAACTCTGAGGAGTTTTCCAAATGAGCTTTAGACACGAATGTGTTAAATTGCGTCATTTGCGCAACTATGCTCCAGGCTAATTCTGCACAGAGAAACGGCGATGTCTTGCGCACTTACAAACTGTCTATTTTGTCCAAGAAACCGATGAAATTGTTCAATTCGGCCTCCAACGACGGGAATATCGCAGCCATCGTTGCGCGTACGTCCTCATTCACCTGCCGCTCCAGTCTCTTGCTCGCCGTCGAAGTCACCGAACCGGGACTCGCTGCGCCGTTACTCGTGTTCTCTATCTCTTCTATCTCGCTACTCTGCGCAACACATCACGGACATGAGTCCAAGACGATCGAGACGACCGCGCTTATACGAAGATGTATACTCACTTTGGAAGGCGAGAGAACGGAATCCAGTTGAAGAAACGAGACGCAGAATCCTTGCTCAGCGAGACACACCGGCTGCATTTGCGAAAGCACGCAGTCGAGCACCGAATCCAAGAGATTCCCCTCGCCCACAGGCGCCCATACTTCGCCGCTCAGCAAGCAGATGGGAGCCGGATTAAGCAGATCCTCGCCTTTTTGGCCGCTAGACCTTGATGTATTTACTTAAAACGTACTTGTCTTTTACTGATACATCAAATTTGCGGAGACAGAAGAGCGCACGCAATAGAGCACCAATTGATCTCACATCTGAGATAATCACTTCCATATTTGTTCTTATTTATGATTTGTTCATCGATCGGAGCTCTACCGTAGAAATTTGATTGTTGTACCTTGCAGCCGCTTGGCAATCAGTTTGTTTTTGGCTTCCTCGAAGAAGCGCTTCAGATCCCTTTTATATAGTTTGCTCATGGTGTCGGTGTAAACCTTGGTTAACTGCACAAACGCCTTGTTATCCAGCGCTCTTAGCAGCTGCATCAATTCGGTATACGGCACCAGCTCGTGATGAACCCCTTGGTGAGTAGGTAGAATTAGCTCTGTCATGGAAGCCGATGTATCTCCGATATCGTTACCCTGTAATTGAATGTAAGAATGTAATTAATTGGAAAGCTGAAGATAAATACTCTCGTGATCAAACATCCGTTTAAAATGTTAAGGTCACTTCACTACAGAAATTTTGATTGAAGATGTCAGAAGTGAGAAAACTCATGGCTAAAATTCTTGCGTGCTATTTCTAAATAAAAAGATATTTGTATGAAATCTTTTTTTATTTTTTAAACCTAGTCTAGAACTACTGCTCCTTTGTCTACTTCTAGGAAATATATTTGTATAAAAGAACTAAAAGAATTCGGAGCATTTTCCAAGTATATCCTCAAGCACTCTGAAGTATTCTTTCATTCAAATATCTTTTTATTTGGAATTGGTACGCAAGAATTTTCAACATGTAATTTCTCGCCTCTGACAATTCAGCATAGTCGCGGTGAATATCCAGAAGCCTCAATCGCATTAATCGTGTTACGTAATAAAAAGAAAAAAGACAAGATGTCAGAAAAGATTGTAAAATTACCAAATGTATAAAAAGATTATTTAGATGTCTTGCAACAATGACTGAAAATTTCGCCTTGAGTTTGTCCAATCGCCTTTTTTGTTCAGTGACAGCGCTCAATTTGTCCAGACCCGGTGGAAGAGGTGCTGTGATTGCCTTCAAAAGCGCCGCACCTGCCAAACTGAGCTCTTCTCTTTCGGCCGGTAACTCGGCTTCGTTCAAAGCACGTTGGTGCGTTGCGGAAATATCTAACTGTGACTTTAAAAGAAGAAGTATTAAACAGCATTTTACGACATTTCAAATGTCGTAAATATTGAAAATATATACGCCAACTAAATGAATACTAAATATTTATGAAATGTAAACTAATTATATATATATATATATATATATATATATATATTGAAGAAATTCTAATGATATTTTTGTTTACTTACAATCACCATATTTAGTTGATTTAATAATAATCTCGCGTTATTATTCGCCGTATGTATAGCCTGATTCTTCTGACCAACCCGGGCCATTACTTCTCTTATTCTTCCTAATGCTTCATCATACGCCGCCAATCGCGCCTCCACGATGGAAGCCTCAATTATTGCAGCATCTATACTATTCATCAATTGTGTCACTCTTTGCTCCGATGCTAAGACTGAGTGCACGTTTTCCTACATAATAATACAATACAAAATTTGTATTAAAAGTTTTTGTTATAACTAACGTACGCTCTCTCTCTCTCTCTCTCTCTCTCTCTCTCTCTCTCTCTCTTTTTCTCCCCTTATTATATTTGTTTCTTTTCTTTAAAAAGATTTCAATATCATTATTTTACCCCATCAAGAATAGACAGATCCTTTGAAAGTGTTTCCATAAAAAGTTCAGCATTAGAAACAGCATATTCACAATTTTCTATCATGTGTTTCAAATCTGCAGCTTCTTTCTCAGTAATAGGTTGGTAGTCTGAAGAAATAGGTGATGCTAAGAGGTCTGAAAAAACATGTTATTATCTGCAAATATTAAGAGGATAAAACTATATTTTTATTAATACAATTGTACTTTTTTATATACACTTTATTAATACAATTGTACTTTTTTATATACACACACACACACACACACATATATAAAGCATGAATTTTAAATTAATTAGATTAAACAACAAAGATAATGTACCTGGTGTAAATGTGATACTGTCACTCTCCTTCAATGCTGTCGGATCAATTAGCCATTCTTTAGGAATATTCTTAAATTCTGGTCTCTGAGTTAAACTGCACGAGTAAGTATACAAATTACTGATAAACGTTCGCCTCTCTTGTACCGTAGTGGATGACCATTTATATACTTTATCAATATGTAACTCTATGTCCATCGAATCACTTTTTACACCATCTACAACTTGTATATCGCTCAGAGGCCAGGACTGTTTCTTCTTATAAACATTCTTGTCATTTTTCTTCACTTGATATAATATAAGAGATCCTGGTGTATCTGTCGTTGTAGCGAGACATAAAAAACTCATCTTTTTCTTTTTATAAGCCTTACTGACATAACATACACTCAGTAGTTTCTCATCACTAGGAGTAAATACTTCCCTCTGTAAAGTATGCCGAATGGCTGCCATGGCTCAACCTTAATTTATATTATGTATCTTCTTTCTACTTTCTCTTATTTATAACTTGTTTCTATGAGACCTGATAAATTATTACCAATGTTAAATATATACAGACTATGGTCTATGCTAAGTTCTATATTCTATCCTATTTCCTTTCTTTTAGATCAATTATCTTCAGCAAAAAATTGATTAAAAGATATTAATTTTAATATTAAATACTTTCATATTTATTAAATCATACTTGCATTAACATGATCATTCTAGGACTACTTGTACATCTTAAAAATATTTAAAAATATACAGATGTAAGTATACTGTATACATATATATATAATTTTACAGATTTAAATAGTGAATTATTAAATGTTGTGTATATATATATATATGTCTATGTACGATATTAGGAAATTACTTAACAAACCAACTATTGATACAAATTCATCATAATAAAAATTTCAGGTAAGAGGTTATATTATATCAATATATTAACAGTATTTCCTTATCGATCAAAAAGACTTACGTAAACATTTTTGTGAGATCCTCCGCACTGCACAATCGTTAATATTTTCGTTGTAATTACATTGTATTGAATATATACATAGTATCGAAGTTCTTATCTCTATATAAAGTTTTCTCCAAAATTACAGTATCTGTCATAACAAAAGGGGCGTTAGTTACACCAAAAGTGTATTAAGCTTGTTCTTCTTTGGTCTGTTCTTTTCGGCTGCACTGCTGACTGTGCAATAAGTTAGAGTGAGACAAGTATATTTTTTCTCACTCTAACTTATTGCATCAGTTCAGCAGGCAGCCGAAAAGAATAGACCACTAGATTGAATTTTTGTACGAATGCAAGAATGCGTTCTTGTTTGTAATGCGCAAATATTATAACGTATTGTTAATTATTACATTACTACAGCCGTTTTATCCTTCACTGTATTATTATACGTACTTGCAAAAAAATTTATATTGCCTGTACTGTGTTACGTCCACGATAGATAACTATATAGGGAAATTTGAAAGTAGTGAAATCAGTGACTTACGTGGACGGTCAACAGAGTGATGGCTCCGCTTTTGGGTCACTCTGCTTTTCACCGAGTTTACCCTGGGTCTCGGGAGCCTGGCGAAACGATTGATGAATCTGGCGGAAAATCAGCGGTGCTTGTTCTCCTGGCTTAGCCTCGGAAGTTCCGATACCACGCGGGTTGATGCGGCCCGTGATTCAGAATTTGATTTCGCAATGTTTGAAATATGAAGGGTAGGCAAAAGTAATTGCAACACAGTCGGATTTTACGACTAAGTATAATATGCTGAATAAGTACA